GCTCGTCGACGACAGCGTGGCCGAGACACGCGCGTGCCGTTCGATGCTCGAAGTGGAACGATCGATCGATCGAACGAACGAAACGGGACGGATGATTTCTGTCGGTCACGGGATTAATGGGGCGAAACAGCCTGTTTATCAGCCGCTTCCTCTCCCCGGCGAAAGTTCTGGTAGGAGGAAAGGGATGTTTGTTTATCGGATGGCACGGCTGGGATCGGGTTATGGGTGTTTATAAATAAATTGACGCTGAACTTGGAGACGGATCGTGATGAGCCGAGTCGCTGTGGCGTTGGGGCGGGTCAGGATGCATGATCGATCGTCCGACACGACGGTGGTTTCATGGTGGAAGGATTTGTTATATGATACGAGGGCTGAATATGAATGTGAGCATCGGTGATGTTCAGAGTGAACGAGAGATAGAGGGAGTGCGAAATAGAGATACGTTGCGGTGTATCGGTGTTGGGGTACCTAGTATAGGCATTAAAATATGGTAATGGAAATGGTAGATTGCCAGTGTAGCTAGTCGGTCGCTATCGAACCTTTGTATTCCATCGGTATCAGCGATAGCGACAGTAACAGTGCGATAATTATTTTGTTGCCTTGCGAAAGAGGTAATCGATCAAAGAAACGATTAAATCGTAGGAAGATCGAATAGTGGAGAATACCGAACTTGAAGATTCCACGAGATTCACGAAGTATCGATAAATCGATAAGACGAACCGTTGATACGTAATCCTTTGTGATAAATATTTATGCATATTAAGGAAGTATGTATCGAGTCCACAAGTTGCATTTCAAGATGAAAAGTCGTGATGCAAACCGTCGAAAAAGAACAAGGATATATTTAAAGGAGGATAATCCGAGGACGCCCTGTGCGTCAGTTACAAATTACATGCGAGCGTTTCCTTGAACTAGGCGCGAAGTCCGATTTCTGCCGCCAGTGTGTAACAAATATAAATCAGCGGAACTAACGCGAAAGATTGTTTAACTTAAGTAATACTTCTTCTAAGAAAAATCATAATCGTCGAAGAAATACCGAGAACCATAGTGACAATGCTAATAACTACAGATTTTCGTGCATAATTCATGATTTCTAGAATGTAATGGAAACAGAAAAAAACATAATGACAGTTTGTATATTTTGATACATTTATATTACATATCTTCTGTATATTTTTGTTTTCTCGAATTCCCATAAATGCATAAACAGCTGTAGTTTATAATACCGGTTTACCAACTATTTTTTGTTTTTTCGTTTAATATACGTTTTAATGTAAAACTAAGGGAATTAGATATTAGAAATGAGAATTTGAGGTTGATGTGACATTGTATTAAGCCGAGAAGGACGGAAGGTTGACCATCTATCGCTATTGTTACAATGTTGAGTCCGACCATAGAGAAGCAGCTTCAAAGAAGCACGTAGCACGTTGCAACATTTGTATGCAATGACCGTGTCGTCGTGAAAAGGAACGAGCGTCGTGTTTTCCTCCACAGTTTGGTAGTTCCACACTTTGAGTACGGCTAATGGAAACGTGTACATTGAAGGAATATACACCTGCCTTGCGAAGACTCAATAATTGAATTTACTAATACAAACTAGTTTCGAACACGAAGCTGATTGGTTTTTTGTTACATGTTTACTCGTTTATGGATCGACAAAGTACGTATATTGTTTTTATTCTATGCATGCATTCGAATAAATCCACTCTATCTTATATCTTTATATTTACATACTTACATTTTCCTTTCTTAGAAGAATTTTTCAAGCTTTTATCATTTGGACGTGTTTTCAATACGAAACTATGCCATCTTGTACTTACAATTTGTTCCTTTTTGTTTATTGCTGATCTCAGCAAGTACGATGGTAGTATATTAATTATTTGCGTATTTGTTCGTGGAGCTTCATATAATCGCGTAATTTCCCATGTATAGCAAAGACTCTACTAGTTAAATATTTTTCCTAACCGCTTCGATCGTCGTCTAATACTTTTGTAAATAATAACGTTAGTGACAAGTTGATGACACGTCTTCAAATTGCAGATTATAGGTACACATTCTTCTACAAATTTAGTTGTCTCGACCACTCGTGAGAAAGCACGTCAACGGGAGTCGTAAATTCCCGTTACGATTAGATAATCGACGGCACGAAATGATCGATCCCCTGATTTCTGTTACGATAATAAGGGTGGTTCTATCGAGGTTACACTGAGTTAACAGGTATAAATTAATGTTTATTTCAACAACTTTGTAAAGAAGGTAATTGACGCGTATGTACAAGTTAAGTAGGTGATTGATTTAAGGATAGAAGCCCGATAATGACACGTTGACTATTCTAACGATAAAGAATAAGTAAATCAAAGCGACGATGCTGTGTCGGAGGAAAGCTAGCGATGGGTGTGTCTAACGCAAGGGACCATCGGATTTGTTGATGACAATTTTGGTTAGGAAAGCGAGGGCAATAGACGTTGCTTCTGATTGGATAAAAGAAGGTTGATGGACTAGGAAGGGTCTTAGCCGCCCTCGATAGAAAGTTGCTAGTGGGAAGTGTCATACGTGAGAAAAACTAACTTTCCCGCGTCTTCCCGTAGTAAACAATAAGCTTTAGAAACGATTCGGTAAAGAGATGTTTGTTCGATCTGAAGGATCTTAGCTAGCAAAGTCCTGAGATTTATAATGGGTCCTTAGGAATATTGAGGGGACGCAGTAAGGATGAGGGGACATCTGGTTCCCACCTTGCCCGTGGAGTGTGGCCTGGTCTAGGTAGAGTGTCGCCCGACGTAACATAGTATTTTACGTTAAATAGAATTATCAGGTGTTTAATTTTGCAAAACTTACAATAAGTTAGAGCTCTACCTGCGCGAAATTCGCCATCGCGCGCTCGCCATGAGTTGTATCGTAAAATTCTAACCGAGCCCCGAGTGGTTCGCGGTTGACGGCTTAGCAGGAATTTTATCTGAAGTCGGTAGAGGTCTCCTTCTTTCAGCGAGAGACTTGGAACGCGACATCTTAGTTTTATCTTCGTGAATAACGATTGGGCGCTTCTTCCAAAATTTGTCATCCTCCTTATGACGTCTTGCTCCACGAAGAACGCCAATTACGGAAATGTAGAAGATGATAAGACAGTAAGAGTCATAAGAACACGAACATTTTTACAGTTATGTTTCCTCAAATAAATCCCCGGTAAATTCGGTTTACTCTATCTAAATCCTAGGTTTCTTTAAACAAACGTTGTATTTGCCTCTTAGAATAAAAGCTTACGTAGAAATGTTTAAACGATAAGTTATTTCCAATAACCAGTCAAACGATTTCTCCTATGCATTCCTTCCCCTCTTCTTTTTTCATGAAAGTTCGACAATCACGTGCGTAGTTATCATTCCTTTACGTGCTTGATTTCATGGAATGTTCCATTTGTACATGCGTTCAGTAAAGAGCAAAAGCCTTAGTCCACAGATATCGAACAGAAATATCTTGCTTTCCTTAATAAGTCTTTTACGAATAAATTTCACTAGACATTTTGTTCAAATTTATCGTGATCGATGAATCCAAATGATTTTTTGTGAAATTTTTACATATAGGAATTGTACGATAAATATAATACGACATTAAAATAGTAATAAAAAGTGATAGACAATGTACAATGATAATAAAAGACGAAGTAAATGAAAACAAACAAATGGAATTTGTTAATAAGGGTCATAAAAACTAACAGGACACGCTCTGTTGAAGATTAATCGAAAGCTGTTTAAAACTCGAGAAGATTCGATAAGAGAAACAGTATCTCCATAATTCTAATAACGTTGATAATCGTTGTCGAACAGAGAAACGATTCGTCGATCGCCCGTTGTTCGCCAAGAGGGGGAAACTTTTACTTCCTACACGTTCACGTACGATTCCCCTGTCATTAACCTGTTGTATTATTAGTGTGGCCAGTGCCAAGCCGATGTGCTTCGGGCGTGTTTCCGGCTGCCAATGAATTTCACGATTTCCCTTTCTAAGCTGCGAGTCGAATGATTCCTAATCCAGGAATAACGGCTATCTGTAGTGAAATTCATAGCAGCGTCGATCAATTCTGTTATTCGCTGATCGTGCGAGAGATCGCGTGAGAGCACGATCGTTTAGCTGTAATTAAAGCGGCGCGGTGCTTTACGATGGATGTCTCGCGATTAAATGTGCTCGTACGTTCCACAGATTTTAGTCTTTTACTTTTTAGGAACTGGAAATGTCAGGAGAAATTTTCTGGAATTGGACAACACTCTGCTAATAATTTCACTTTCGAATACTTTTGGAATATTTTATAGCATCGGGTTTGTAAAATTCCTTATGTAACTTTCCATACGAATTTCCTATGATTACGAATTATTAAAATACAAATTTTTAATTTTTCAATCTCCAAGTTTACAATTTTTTCAAGTTCCGTAAAAATTTACCATAATAACGTTTTAACTTATTTTTACGTGTTTCTGCAATATAATTGCATTGCCATTTTAAAGCATCTTTTACAAACATTTTCAGAAATCCCATGCTGTTCTTATCCCAAATTACAATTGATACGGTCGTACAACCGCGATTTGCAACTTTCTCCATCGTTGGATGATATAAACGTATATGAGATATTATGTTATTACCGAAGAATTTGATATTAAAGATTTTTGCCCTACTGATTCTATAACCCAGAGACGTTACGTTGGCAAGTGAAATTAATATGCTTGACGAGAGTAGTATGCTAATAGAAATCGCGAATAGTATGCGTTAGCTGTTCAAAATGAAAGTTGTTTTACAAGTTTGCTTGCGTTTTTTTCAAGTAATTAAAAGAATTCTTCAACACGTGCTTCGCGTTGTTATGTATTCATCGATAAATTTTTCTTGCGCATCTATCAAATGTTATTACTTATCGCCCCAGAAAGCCTGTAATTTTATTCCATTAATACCTAATCCTACCATTTTTCTTACGGTTAGTCTTCTTCGGTTTCGAATTTCTTGGAAACCTTCTTCCAGAGAGATTTCGTTAGATGAACGATTCTGGAATCTTTGCTTCAGCGAGCAGCTTATCCAGCCATTAAGCGTCGAGCAACCCTTGAAACTAAATCAACAGCTCAACCACGAGATTACTTGGTTCTGGGAAATCGTTAAACAAAAAGCGAATGGAAATGGATGGTCGATAGATGGGCAGGATGGTCGTGTTGAACATGTTTATTGAAACTTCGATTAGCTTAATGGGAAAGCTTCGTTCGTTTCAGTGTAATAAGCTGCAATAATAACGTCAGTAGAAGATTAAAATCATTACAGTTTATCAAGTTTTTGCTATTTCTTCAGTTTTATCGATAGCGTAGCATGATTAAAGCATTTACGCATTTTTCTTAATGATATACAAATTATAGACATGATTGAAAATTATACAATCTTATAATGACTTCTTAGAAGTGAAATTAATATTCAATTCTGTTATGATTTTGCTGTCTTTACGCGAGAAGAATAGACTGCAGATATTTATGCGAGTTTATATTTAATGGATAAGAGATATGTTTTGAAAACTCGAACGATATTTTATCTCAGCTAAAGAAACGGTTCCTACGTAAAAATTTGTTTTGCTCTCTAGATGTTATAAGATGTATCTTATTTCGGGGATTTTAAACCTCTTTGTTTACTTTCTATACATTCTGTAGATTTTTCTACATTTAAATATCTCATAGATGGATAAACGTTCGTAGTTCAATTATTACAAGCGAAGGAACAAAGAAATTGAGATCGTTGGAAATTTTTCGTGGCAATGCAGGTGGAATTACTAGATTGGAATATAGCAGTGATCTCATTATCGCAGAAGATTGTTCAATCTCTGTTACCGCAGTATCGCGTATCTCCTTTTACTCAGAAACGGGATTCTTACGACCCAATTAAAGTATAACTCTACAGAAACATCTTACGCGAATACTAATTAAATTGATAAAAACACGTGGAATATTGAAAATATTTGATTATATCTTTTTCTGCTGCTGTTCATTATTATAGTATCATGTGCAGCTTCTTTTTCTGGGGAACAGGTTTATAAGCGGACGTGTTTTGCAGCCCATCTTGGATACTTTATCGAAGATACGTGTAATATCGAAACACGCAGAAACGTTATAAATATCCTATTATATAACATATTTATAGTTTTCCTAGCTTCGATCGTATCTTTGATAGCGCGTTGCACTTTACGACTATATTTCGTGAATATTACAGTTCGTTTATTTAGTTCTTGGAATAGTTTCAGACGAAGAAGCGAACTAAGCTGGTACAACGTTCGCGAAACGTTGGCATCGAGTGTAACGTATTAGGTTGTCCGAAAAATTTCTTTCGTTTCATAAGGTGATAGTAGATGAACAACAATTTCTGCTTTATATTATTTCATTGTATTAGGTACGATCCATTATATCTGTATTATTATGTTTGCGCGTAATTCGATAATCTAATATAAAACAAAAAACATTGTGCGTCTATTACTTCCTTACAAAAAAGGATAGAAACTTTTCGGACAACCTAATACTATCAAAAGGAAAAATTTGTAAACGAATATAAAGCATATTTTTCTTTTGCTAGCAAAACCATGTTCCTAGGAATTTGCCTTTCTTAATTTTGCTTTTGCTAATACGAATTTATAAAAAGGTATGAAAAACGTTTCGTCGTGGATACGTTTGTTTGCATACACGTCCGATTTATTTACATTTCTTGGTGATGTAGCGTGCTATCTACGGTCCACGAGACAAGAAACGTATTGAACTGTAATGGAAAAAGCATCAAAGAAGTAGCAAGATAGTGGCACCGAATGACACAGCACTAGATCCTGCAGGAAGCATTGTCAGCCCGAGGAACGTTCGTGCATTGCTGGATCGGTGATTGTGCCACAATCGACGTACAACTTTCTCGCTCGCAGATTTACAAACACGGAAGAAGCTTGAAACCGGCCTAGTAGGTTCTACAGTAGTCGCAGTGTACGCAGGTTCGCGCTAGCGCACGGATCAAGTCACGTCCTTGACAAAGCAGCCCTGCTGAATCAGTGAAGTTACAGTTTGCCAGAGTAAGTACTTTGAAAGCCTTCGAATCCTCGCAGTTGCTTCTAAACCTTACCGTTTACTCTTGTCCTTTGTACGTATCCTTTCTACGTCCCATCGATCCTCGTTGGTTGCTAGGATCCAGTTGGTTGCTAGTTTTCAGTTTCTGGAACTTACAGGTCTTCCAAAGCTTTTTCATCGAGTGAGTATTAATCGTATTTTTTGATATCTCGGAATTGTTTGTTAGGTTTTTGTTTGTTTTCTTTTTCTCGAAGCTATTGATCATCGTCGTTTACAAAGTTAGATGTTAATCTCACTGCAGTCGTCGAATTGTTATATGCGAATCTCACAGTCGTCTTGACGAACGAAGAGACTTTAAACGTTGTGACACAATCTACAGGAAAAAATTGACACGAAAAATTACTTAAAATAAGTTAACGATAGAATAACACGATAGTGGAAGATAGTTTTGTAAATTGTTTGGTAAATTTTTCAAGTTCACTCAAGGATTTAAATAACCCACTGTATGTGAATTGCACTTTCATCCATCGTGAGTCGACTAATCGGTTAACATTCACCTGGATTTTACACACGAGCAAACAAAGAAAAACAGTGTTCGAGGAATGTAATCCCCTGAAAAACTGTCTGAAGAATAAAAGAAGCGGCACGTGAACGGTAACTGGAGCACAGTGATGCTTTAATGACTCGTTGAACGATTGATAGTTACGTCGTAGTTAACTGGCATGTTTGTAAAAAGAGACGTTGTTGCGGTAACGTTTGCAAGAACAGAGAAAGTAGAAATGAGACGTTCTTAGGCAGACACGTTCAGTGAAATTGCATCAACCAACGTAATGATGAATTACCGCATATTATGTTCCTATATCTAACTCGAGTTACATATATATCGCTTTTCTATCTTTATTTTAGTTATTATATTTTATCATCTATTTTGTTTATCGCGTCGAAAAAGATATATTTTCCACTCAACTCGAGAATAAATTTCTAACAAATTTTTTTTCAAATATAATTTGGACTTTTGAACTCTGCGATATATATTTGGTCACGGTACATCCCAGTGGCGAAAACACCTGAGAATAGAGTCGAAATGATCGAAAGATATAACTTTATTGACGCAACAATTACTTCCACCAACTTTGAGCAGCAGCAGCTAGAAACGTTAGAAAACCAATAGAAAACGTAAACGACAAGATTCGTTGAGAAATACCTGATATCGTATTTCTCAGATATAGCTGAATTAAAGACAAGGGAAAGATATCGCATATACGTAAATACAGTTTAGCTAATAAGCGTGAATATCGTTTCGTGATTATATAGTTAATCTGTCATTATGCTAACTTTTGTAATAGCCCTATAGTTGAAAAACGAGGGTTTATCGTATTATGTCACTCCGTAAATAGAATGGAAAGTGGAATTCTTTAGCAAAGATCGTAGATTTCCTGAACAATTATATTTTCATCGCGAAATTACGCGTTACGTTAAATGTTATTTATAGAACGTTGATATAACGAGGAGATAGAAGGTTCAATCGCTAAGATTCTTACTTTTACTTTCTCCTTTCCTTAATATGTGAATCGTAATACACCCACGACAAAAGTCGGGTACGAGGTTGTCGTTAGTGAAAGCACCGAACCGTGGATGAAGCAGGATGACCATGACATGTTTCGTAATCTCGATGACGTATTACCTTTGGACAACACGGTATCGGCATGGCTCGCAACGATCGCTGTAACCGTCGCATGTTGCTAGCGAGTTCACGCATCTAATTTGTTCGTGGCGCAATTCTAACTCTTCCGTGGTTTGTAAACTAAATTTTGTTAGTTGAAAAGTTTTCTATTCTCGGGTTCTTTAATCTCTAAATGGCGAGTGAAATAAAATAGGTTCTTCGAAGCTGATGGAAAGCATTTGAGCTTAATTTAAAGATCAACTTAATTTAATCTAACTTAATTTAAAGATCAAGTAGTGTAGATGATACATCGACGAATTGTGTATATACAAGAAGGATTTTAAAGACACAAGCGGATAGGACTTTTAGTCGTTAGTTTTCTACTGGTTTACACATCTATCCGAGGATTTACGACCGCTAACGTTTGTCAAGTGATCGAAGATGTTCTTTGAACCATAATGTTCATTGATCCGTAGAAACCCAACCACAGAACACTACTCACCACCCACTACCACCGTCTTCGTCGAGTTTCGCCGTGTCCCTTACTTTTATTTTTGTGCAACCTACGCTTCCTTTCTACCTACGGATAAACGAGGAGGCATAGAAAACGGAAGCTCAGCTTTATTCTCAGTCAGATTTCATTCTGTGTTCGCAGCAAGATTCGCTTCTATTACGCTTTTACCTATAAATCTAACTATTTTTAGTTTCCCAGGTAATATCTCACGATGTGCAGCGCAAAGTCTGTCAACCGTGTCTAAGAAATCCTATCCAACCGAACTATCAGCGATCTGTTGAAAGATTGCACCGACCTTGGTGTTGTTTAGTCGTCAGTTACTTCATGCGCTAATGCAGTCGCCAGTGTTTAAAGTCAGCTCGTAACTTTAAACTTTCCCCACGAGAACAAACCGACTGTCTACGATGCCTCTTTGAACAGTAGAGCTGCACGATCGTTAAACATATAACGATCTGATAAAAAATCGCTAACGAGACAACTATACGCGAGAATGGCCTCTTTACAAGTTTTAGAAAGCTAATATAATTTATGAATTGACGTGTATAAGTATAATATTCGCCTTTTAATATACGTTTTGCCTTTTGACGATAATGATACTGTACAGTGATTAATATCTAATTCATACAGTCGGTAAGCTTTTTGCGTGAATCGTTTCTTTCAAAGTCTGTACTCTTTTTTTCTTAAGCAGACTCGAGTACCTTGAACTTTAGACGCTTGTTCGATTTGCGTGTTAAAAAAATGATACCGACTCACGGTTGTAAAAGTAATGTCACGACCTTCGAAGTATGATTGTAAATAGATTATACGTGTCTTAAATAGATCTTTCGTGCGCTGTATATGTACAACACGTGCATTGGTCGCTTTCCCTGAAATTTTGCTCGTCGTTAGAACGCGGATATTTATGCGTCTACTTTTTTTATTATTTTATTTATTGTATTTAAGGATTTAAGGTATAACGATGCACGGTACAGGAAATAACACGCCTCGGTATTCGAAAGTATTCGAACAGTTATACAGAATGCATTATGCGTGTTGTAGGAAATTTTTTCAAATTTAACGTAGGTTCCGTTTCTTGGATTTCATTTATAAAAGTATCAACTATTCCGTGGAAATATTTTCATTTACGAATGTAATTTTACGGTATCCGCGATGTATTACCAATCTATTTGAAACCGGCGACGCACGTGTGGAAGAATACACGTTGTCGTTATCGTTATCAGTCAATATTGGAAAATCAATTGAAGGAATAAGACGTAGTAGGAAGAATATCGCAAACTTTACACTGCAAAAGTATAGAGGCGCAGCACTGTGCGAAATGATAAAGTAATATTGATTTGAAGTAAAGAAAAAGATGGGAAGTCTATGACTATTATCGAAATATTAAATCGTCGATTCCTCGGCATAATCGTTTAGTTAGACATCGGTTTCTCGTGTTTATGTGTTTACGAGAAACTCAAAGGTGCAAAAATAGACGGATTTTTGCATATGTAATATGCAAAAATGTGGAAAATATATAGAGTCGCGGTACTTGCGGAGTCAGGGAAACATTTATTCAGATTCTCTTTGTTTAGTATGTTCGTAAAAATGAATTTGCGTATGTGTACGTCCGTGATTTAATTATGACGTTACATATATGACACAATCTGTATTTATCGATTAATGATTCTGAGATGTTAATGCAGTAATATTTTATTCGTTCTCGTAGACGCTATTCAAATAGTTTATATAATAGTAATTCCTCGATTATACTCTTCGCTGTCTATGACTATGCTCGTTCAAAAATAGAGCGTAATATTTATTTAAAGAACTATTTTTTCACAGCAAAATTATCTTGAAATATCGTTAGTTCAAAAATATGAAAAAATAATGTACGAATTCGAATCGTTCTACGGAGCAGCGTGATCGTTTCTTTTAACATTAACGTTCTCAGTAAGGCCGCAGGTAAGAGGGAAATTGCAGTGTATTTTGAGTCGATGCAACGAGGTCGAACACCTTAGTTGCAGTCAGTTGCATCACCGATCGGCATCGCTGCTGGATCGACTCTCGTATTCGATTTGCGACTCCCATAACACCGTTTTTAAATCTCCTTCTTTCCGAGAAGACCTAGCGATAACAAAAATCCAATCGAAACTGGCCAAAATTTTATTCAGCATCTCGCGACTGTATAGCAGGTGTTTTCGAACAATGTTTTTCCGTTGAACAACTGGCAAAAGCGTTTTTACAAAAAATTCCTGTCGAGTATTCGTTCGTGTTGAAAAAGGAGTTCTACAAAGTCATTCTGTAAAACTGAGAAACCACGGATCGGTCGTAAATCGGTAATCGTTCTCGCAGAGCGTATTTTTCGGAGAGAAAGTTACGTCGATTGTGTTCGAGCCAGGTGAACAGCAACCGATCGAAAGTCTTTGCAGTCGGAACGCGTTGTTTCGTGCAGGAACCGGAAGGATTCTTCGTACACGCATCACGCGATGGGTGATTCACGCTGGTGGCAGTTTCGTGTTTGATACACGTTCGTGTCGATGATAGACGAGGAACGAGTCTTTTCTCTGTGTCATTATCGCTACGACGATTTATCGTTAGTCGAATGCGAAACGAAACGTACGAAGAAAAAAGGAAATTTTATAAGCACGTAGTACCCTCTGATGACGATATCAGAAACTCGTATCGTGTTACTCATTGTTCTTCGAACGATTGATGTATTCTTCTTCGTAATTTCATGCGAACGAACTCGGTTGTAATCTGTCGACGTAATGCAACGTTGGAAGTTGGATTTCTTAAACCAATCAGTGGTCGGAAACATCTGAAAACAATTAATCAATTCGATCTTAGAAGATAATTTCCTAGAGCGAAACCAAAGTGAATAGCGGTGTTTCGAAATATGTCTACGATTCCAGAGCGTTTCAAGTATTTGGGAAATTTTCAAAATTTGTTGATAAAGCGATTCGCTGTCGAAGGACGAGCTAGCCGTTCAAAATAATTCGTAAACGAAACCGAAGCGAATCGAAGTACGTCGAAACGTGTTTCTAACAATCGACATCGAGTTCGTTTCAAATTCTAAACTCGGTTTACCAATTGTCTGAAAGAAAAGCTGGCGGAAAGAGGCCGAATAAGGCAGTGACGAGTGGAAAGAAACGAAACCAGTCGTAAGCTGGCCGCGAATTGCGTACGGTGACTGTTGCGCGCGGCTGTTACAGCCTGCGACCACGCTGTCGAGGTTATCTCTCGATTCGACGTCGCGACGTTAAATTACGTTGATCCTCGAGTCCTGGGCTTAACAGTTCCTCGAGCGTTCCTCAAACGTGGATTACGCGAGACTGTATCATGCCACAGGATACGAAGGACGTGCCGAATGGCAGGATCGGTGTAACCTTGAAGAACGAGCCGAAACCAGGAGCCGAGAGGGAGCTTCTTCTCGAAGAGGATTCGCCGAAAAACGGCGACATCGATGTTGGAAAGTGTTGCAACGATTCAAACGGTATGCCGGAATTCAAGGACGATCAGATCCAGTCGAACGACGAGGAGGTTTGTTTGGATCTTGGAGAACCCTCGCCGGAAGTGATGGAGTACGCCAGGAGAGAACTTGGAGAGACGGACGACGTTAAGTGTAGGACCCTTCAGGAATTAAGGGATATGATTTATGGTAATTATTATTGAGAAAGGGAGATTTACGTTGCCCAAAAGATACAGCGACTGGCGATAATATTTTAACCCTGGTAGAAACATTTTTATAATTTACGTTATGTGTCTCGTATATCGGTAAAATTGTATTGGTTAAAGTTAAAATTTCATTAGTTAAAGAATTGATTAATTAAAATTAAAAGCCGACTGATATTTGTACTTTGTAGCTTTACGAGTACTAAACTTCGAGAACAGTATATTATACTTCATGCGAATATTTATGCGATTTCATATGTTTACGACTATACGTTATAATACATTATACGTAAGAAGATAGATCAACTAGATATTTGTCTTAGTCGCTATACGTTGAATATGTTCTGCATAATGTGTGCGTATATCTTTGCGTTTTTAGCTTGCCATGAAAGAACAAATTTCCATTAATTATGTCATTATTAATTATGTTATTATTATTATTATTATTATTATTATCAAGAAGATCAAAATAGTTTAGCTCGTAAGAAACTTATACGTCAGTCGGAGGAATAATTAATCGAGATAGCCGAGTGAAAACGCGTTTTTTATTTATCTTGGGAATTCTTTGTTCGACAGAGAGAGGAGAATGTCTGCCGCACAGGATGGACGATGACTTCTTGATTAGGTTTCTAAGGACGAGGAATTTTAACGTTAACAGGGCGCATAGACTGGTAAGTTTCATTAATATAACGAAACTGATACGATATTTCCTGAGAATTACGTAGTATAGTTGACTGACTGGCCGAATCTTTTTCCCCACTTCTTCGTATTTTCCGAACGCTTTCTTATTAATTTCGTAAAAATATGCAAATCCATGCAATTAGATAAGTAGTTTCCTTGAAATTATAGCGAACATGTGGTATACTTAACACCAATTTATCGACACTGGAATAAGATAATTTGTAGGCTGAAAGAGGTAGCATTCGTAAAACGAGTCCAGCTGCAACAGTTGCATAATCCTGTCAAGGTAACTCAGTCGACTTGCTGCGATCGAAAATGTCTTTCCTCGAACCTATTTCTTTCGAGACTTTTCATTTTTCACGACTCGCGTGCAATTCGTTTCTGATCCATTGATACGATACGATTAAATAATACAATTAATTAATACTATCGTTTATTTCGATCTTTTCCGAATGGCTGTTTTCGAATGGCGGAATCTTTCTCGATAATTAGCGCGTGAATCATTGTACAAACGTGGTCGGCGACACCTTCTTCTCAAGCGATGACAAAAGCAATTGTCAAACAAAGAGACGGAACGAGCTGAACGTCAGCCGATTAGTTAGCTGACTAGGTTGAATCAAAGTTCACTTCGATCGTGAGAAGCAAGAAACTCGCATCCGTCGACTCAAGCGACTTTATTTCCAATGGCCATTGTATTTGCTCAATTATTCGATTTTCAAGTGCTGTAATCCAGATTCGAACGATTCTCGAGAGAGGAGGAAACCATCGAATCTACGAGATTCGATAAGATGGGTAGTCGCGATGTATCCCAAGTTACGATATATCGTTGATTCGTTGAAAGGGCGATATACCTTAGAAATCATCGATAAAGCACATATTCGATAAATGAAAAAAATTCGATTAAGTTAGAAAATTTACTTTTCTTTAAAAGAAGTTGGCGCGATATCACAAAATGAAACGAATTCGTATTTCAGTTTCGCACGTTTTCTCTTCGTGGCCATCGTTAACAGAGTTGATTGCGTTTTCGAGGTCGACCTTTTTCTGTCGACAAACTACGAAACGCTTGAATAATTGCACGGTTTGTACCTCGTCTTCTTTACGGATTAAATCGAACGCTATCGCGTTCGTTTTCTCTCGACGTTCCTTTGAAACGCCATTAATTATTGGTTGGTGTTCGTTGTTTGCTCCGTTTCTATATTTGAGCAACGACGGTCGAGTTTGAACAGCGAGATTAAATTGCAAAGAATCTGTTTAATGCTGCGAGGCGTGGCCGGTGATCTTCCGAAAGGATTTTTGAAGAATTTAGAAATTAAAATTTGAATTTCCTTCGTCATTGGTAGACTACGGATGTTCATGGATTTGCGGAATATTTAAAGGTGCAAAAATGTAGAAAATGCTTGACGCGTTTTAAAAATCACAAATTTTTTATTATTACCTCTTATTCGATAGCAAGACAGTCTTTGCGTTTAATCGAACTTTACGTTCGGAACTCGACTTTAAAGCAAAGATCAGATCTCCTTAGGAACAATATCATTGAAACTTGCTTACAAAATTTAAACATTTTCCAGCATTTACGTTGTTGCAATATCGATTAGAGACTCGAGCAGAAAACGAATTCTAAGTAACCTCAATCACGGGAAAGCCTCATCATACATATACAACGAGGAGCATAACTGAATCAATAATCACAGCGTTGATGGCATGTGAAAAACTTGACGACAGTGAATAATGATTTGCACGAAGCTCGCGATTATCGGTTCAATTACGCTCTTCACCGTACTAACCTAACCGAAAACCGCTCCTGTTTCTCAAAAGATCTTTCGATAGATCGTAAACTACTGCACCTTCAAAGAGGAACATCCGGAGATCCATCAAGATGTGTGTCCACTGGAGATGAAGCACATCGGCGAAGACGACGTGATGTCAGTGCCAGCTTACAGGACGCAGGATGGCAGGAGAATAATGATCTATCGACTGGGAAATTGGGATCCAAGGAAATATGGCGTGGAGGAGATCTTTAAAGCCACGGTCATCATTCTTGAACTCGGAGTTTTGGAGCCGAGAGCGCAAATCCTTGGCGGCGATGTAATTTTTGATCTGGAGGGCATCACTATGGCGCATGCGTGGACTATCACTCCTCAGGTATTTCTTTTTATTCTCTTTATTCCTTCAGGATAACACTGATAATCGGCCAGATGATAATTGACGCTGTACGAGAACGAAAGAGAAGGGGAAACGAGAATCGAGCACTCGATTAAACGAAACTCAGTCGCGGAAGAAGCATCTAAATCCGAGAGCAAGATATCTTAGCTACCGGTATCGATCTGCTTTCAGCGTTCTTGAAACTTAAACCATCTATAACGTCCTTGAAACTAATCGTCTCTCATTTTATCCGGCGACCTCCTGTTACGTTTATTCATCCCGGCCGAATATCCGGTGAAGCGGTAGCTGTGTAAAGGCGGCACTAATGGTGTCCTTGAAACTTCAACAATTCGCAAAGTTCTCGACACAGATCTTCTTCCGTGCAGCCACTAACTTCTTCGTCGGACCCCGATCCTTCGTCTAGTCGTTGGTTCGACGACGGAGAAAGATAACGTTGTACGACAACGCGGAAGAATCGAGAACTTGCAGGTGGCCGAACTTTGACGTCACTTTTCGATAATTTTTCCTACTGTTGCAAAATCATTACAAAATATTCCTTCGTATCTTTGTCCCTTGCATTGGAGGATTTATCGTCACTGAGAAGTTCCAGATACGAGATCGTCGCTATTTAAGTAAATGTCAACATTTGGCCGATACTACTTCAAAAATTCAATATTCTTAAAAGTAAGAAGATCGTGTCTTAAATCTTGGTTTAGTCCAGTTAGTATGCAGTGACTGGAGCCTTTCAATTTTAGAATGTCAATTGCCGGTTTATTCCCTCGCATTAACTCTTCTCACAAACATCTCAATATCGATAAAGAGCATAGAATTAGGAAAATCTGCAAATCTAAAAGCCGTATTATCCTCGCGGTACTTTTGCACGATTGAGCTGGTGAACGTAGCTGAAAGCCGGCGTTAAAAGGAAATCCACTTTATCCTCCTCGAAATCTCGAAATATCTTACTGTTTCGATCAATGCAATTCCAATGTAAGCTTGATCAAGTTAACGGCTCATTGGGCAACGATAAATTGCAGTAAATCATCGAGTTTCGAATGTTAGGAGATACGCGAATGTATCGAGTGTTCGAGATCGAGCGTGAGTAAATTTCATCTGAAACGAGGATGAAAAAAAAAAGATAACGATTTGAAATAATAAATCATTGTATTTATTTCTAACAACCATTTTATTTCTCTTTCGAAAGTATAGCATAGGAGTAAGAAACGTATTTATCTAAATGACCGTGATGTAATCGTAAAAAATGAATTTTTAACAAATTCAATAATCATCGATCTTCTCTTTCTGTCTACGCTAGGTGGCCAGTATGGTGGTAGCTTTGATAGTGTCAGCGTTCCCAATGACGACCCACGCTATACACATCCTCCATCAATCCTGGGTATTCGACGTGATGTTCTCGGTATTTAAGCCACTTCTGGACGTGAAGATGCAGAATAAGATCTTCTTTCACGGTAGCAACATGGAAAGCCTTCACGAGCACATCTCACCGTTCCATTTGCCGAAGAAGTATGGCGGAACCAGGGAGGAATTGGCTTACTACAAGTGGATAGACAACCTCAGCAAAGTCCCTCAAATCGTCAAAGAGATGAAGCAAGTCGGCTACATAGTCCCTGAGGAGATACAGAAGCAGTTAGACCAATTGGTCGAGGATTGAATTAGGATGTGCCTCAGGGATTCCTGCGTTGCCAGTTCAATATTATCTTCCATTCTTGATTAACAGTAACTATGTACGTTTCATGGTCATTTATAGACACGTCGATTCACAGTTAGGATTTGGCTTGACTCTTTTTTTTTTATTTCATTTACTTTTTTTTTTATATCATCGTTGCTTTAACGCGTTTCTTCCCTGTCAGAGGATACATTTTATTTAGAGTAACTATCACATTAGACGCAACTGAAGTATTGTATATTTTATAATCGATATTCCATTATTACGTTCGTTCCACGACTTCCTATATTTTTTACTATTTAGTGGTCACCAAGTACTTCCCGCTATAGTATCGATTAAACGTTTTAGAAAAATCACTCTTCCTTCTTCTCTTTCGCCGAATCTCCATTGGACGCTAGAATAAGATCGCGAATTGATAATAAATGGATCCGAGACGAATTAATGGCTTGAAAAAAATCGACATCGTTCAATTTCCTGGGAAATGGAGGGACTGGCGTTGACTGTATCCATAGATCGAATCGAAACCTTCGTTTTCCCGGCAGAATCAAACGAAACAAGGGCTATCAATCTCCTTTATCAAGATACGAACATCGTTCAGACTATGTACGTTAAAAGATTGACGATTTATTAGCAAACGATCTCAAAGAAAAATGAATCTTAAGTTAAAGTTACGATTCGAGCTGATCAAATTTATTCGCTTTTTAATTTTTTCTTATTCTGATGTAAAATTCTGAATATATAATCGACGGTTAGTCGAGACCGATTTGCGTAACAGGTTTGAATAAAAACAAGTTTAAATATAATACAAGCGCGGAGTGAATCATTGGATTAGTCACGAGCGCGAAGCGCAATTATAAGTAAACCGCAGGTATATATTTCTAGAACTTTCGAAACAAATAACACGTAAGCGACAAATGAAAATTACGACTCGTATCTATCGGAAATCGACCAACAATACTGATTTTTGTGCTCGACTTCGAATATCACGATCGAAGAATACGTTCGCTGTTCCGGTCTTCAGCGAAACTGCAGCGAAATTTCAAGAACTCTCGTCGAAGTTCGATCACTCGAAAACAAGTTGTAAGCGTTGAAATTGCAAACGTAACTGCATGCAAGCTAAGAATCGCAGCGACGTAAGCAAATCTGCTATTAGCTTTCGCAAAATGTGTTTCACGTTTATTATTAAAGAAATGTATCGTCTCTCGAAATCGTGAAAATGAATATCGTACCAAGTCAAAACATAATTAGCAACACGCGAAAGTAATTTAATTATGAAACCAGAAAAGGGAAGATACTTTCTAAAAGTCAAGGATACAAAAGTAAATTCTCAAAATGTTGACTTACGTCAGAATGGTTTTCAGTCCGTCAGATAGGTTCATCGACCGACGAAGGACGACAGGTGTACAGGGCAACCCCCTGATCGAAGTCCCTCGATCCGTGTGGCGAAAACAAACGAACGGTGCGCGAGAGCATCGGCTGACCGACATCGAAGCGATTCACGGAAAACGAGCGAACATTGTCAGCGCGGTGGTTTTAGCGAAGGGTGCAGCTAGGTCGGTAGGTACGCGTAGGTAGGGCAGAGAGCGGCGCAGGTAGGGCCTGGCGTGGACGGCGCTGGGCTTTTGTGGTGGTTGATATCGACCC